TCCAGCGCCCCCTCGGCTCCACCCGTAATAGCCCTGTGAGCAGAGGGAAGCTCCCGGGTCAGAGGTGGAGCCTGCCTTTCACTGCTGGTTTCTCCCACAGCTGGGCTTCAACATCCGGGGAGGAAAAGCCTCACAGCTGGGGATCTTCATCTCCAAGGTGTGTCCTTCCCTCCCCGTGTCCCTCCTGTTCCCCGGGGTGGTGCTGAGCAGGCTGGGTGTGCACAGAGACGCCATCCCCTCCCTCACAACCACCTCCAGCCATCACCCAGACACTCCTGCCTGCTCCTCCCCACCCCACTCCTCCTCCCCAGCCCCGGGGGGGGATCCATGGCTCCAGCAGCCCCCGTGGGGTGTCCCTGGGGGCTTCCCCTGCTCCCCCTCTCTTTGCAGGTGATCCCCGAGTCGGACGCGCACCGGGCGGGGCTGCAGGAGGGGGACCAGGTGCTGTCTGTGAATGATGTGGACTTCCAGGACATTGAGCACAGCAAGGTGAGATGGGGACACCCCCCACTTTGTTCTGTGTCCCCCCCTCCCAGCCCTGGCTGCTGGCTGAGCAGCTCTCTGTGCTTGCAGGCCGTGGAGATCCTGAAGACAGCCCGTGAGATCACCATGCGTGTGCGTTACTTCCCCTACAGTAAGTGCCCCTGGGCTACCAGCCCCCTTTGGGCAGCTGGCAGAGTGCCACCCCTCCCTGCCCGTCCCCACCTCAGGCCACAGCTGCCCTGGAGCCTTCAGATCAGGAATAAACCTCTGGAGATGAGGATGGGCACCAGGGGAGGAGTGGCTTCAGCTGCCCCCCTCGCAGGGCAGGGCTCAGCGGCCAAGAACGGGGGGATTGTTGGGTGGAAGTGACACCTTTAGGTGCTGCTCGTCCTTGGATCACAGGAGGTAGCTCTGTGAACAGTGGTGGCCACTGCTCGTGGTGTTGATTCCTCCCTGAGGAGGTTTAAGTTGTGACTGATGGGAGGGACTGGCTCAGCTCACAGTTTCTGCACCCCCCTGAAGGTCACAGGGAGAAGTGGGGAAGAGCAGAGCTCAAGTCACACCCAGCAAGGGCTCTTCATTAAATGGAAACTGACCCTTCAAGTGAAGAAATAAGGAAAATACAGAGCAGGGGAGGAGAGGATTTTAACCAGACTGTTTCTAAAGGCCTGGAAGGAAGCTGAGATGACCTGCAGGGGTGGGGATGTGCCCCCAGAATTAGGTTCTCCATGAACCTTTTGGCTCCTTCCTTAAGCAGTGGCTGCTGCTCCCACCCTTTCAGCCTTGTTTTCTCTCCCTTCCAGATTACCAGAGGCAGAAGGAAAGAACTGTTCACTAGCAGGCAGCTGTCTGCTGGGTCTCCAGAGTGATCATGCTGTCAAAACACTCTCCACTGCTTCTCCTGGACCTCTGAGATGACATGTGTCAAGTTTCAGCTGTCCTGTTGGCTGCATCAGCTCTGCTTCCTGCCTGGAGGGACACCAGGGAGGGGTCTTATTTAGCTGGGAGATGGGTGGGGCTTTATTCTGCACTCCCTGGGCTGGGTGCTGGAAGGAGCTGATGTGGAAGCAGGTCCTGGAGGGCAGCTTCTCTTCTAGTAGGACTTCAAAGCAGAGCTCTGGGAGTTGTTGTTAGGATGTAAGGCCAAGAGGGCCTGAGTGTGCTGGAGCAGAGCGTGGCCCTTGTGTTCTCCCAAGAGCTCAACCTGGGGCACTTCTCTGGTGCTGTGAGCTTTCCTTCTCCACTGTCCTACCTCTGCTCCTCACTGCTGGGGACTCCAATGGGACTAAAACCCACTCAGACTCTGCACCAGCCTGCAGAGCCACGTTTGTCCCTCTTGGCTCCTCCAGGATGCAGGGCTGAGGGGCCTGGGGCACGTTCCTGAGCCCCTGGGGCACGTTCCTGAGCCCCTGGGGGCCCTTGGCCAGGTCCCCTCAGCTGTGAACTTGCAGGGTTCAGGGTTCTGCTCACTGAGCTCTCTTCCTTCCCTTGGCACAGCCCTGTCCTGCCACGAGCTCCCAGCAGAGCTCCTTTGGGTTCAAACTTCTCCCCTCTTCTTGGAGAAGGGGCAGGAAGCTGCTGTGCCCTGCGTGGGGTGGGCACAGATGGCAAGTGTGGGTATCAGCCCTTCTGTGCAGTGTATTTCCCCTTCTCTGTAATAACCCAAACAATAAAAGGAGTACAGCAACCAGAGTGTGTCCCCACCCTCAGCAGGACCCCCAGGAACGACTGAGGGGGGCAGCTGGGACCAGGTTTGGCTCCAGCTGCCCTCACAGCCTGCCAGGGGAGAACACAGGGGGTGCAGCCCTCTTCTCATTATGATTTTCCATGGATTGGGGGTGGGGAGTCAGCTCTCCAGCAGCCTGGAGCAGTGTTCCAGCCCAGGGCTGCACAGCACAGCCAGGCAGCTGGAATAAAAGAGATAGAAACATCCCTTACTTGAAATCCTTTGTCCCTGTCCTGCTCTGTGATTCAGTTTGGGACTGCTGAAAGCTGCTGAGCCTCGGGGTGTGGAGAGGGGAGGTGGGGCAGGTGACTGCTGAACAAAGAATCATCTTCAAGGTCTTTTTCCACCCTCAGGGACTCCCCTGACCCTCTGAAAGTCGTTTCAGCTGCAGAGCCCTCTAGGACCCTCATCACCTCCTCCCAGCAACACCCCCCAGTGCAGCCCCAGCCCCTCCCAGAGCCACACTGGCACCCAGTGGGCTCCTCAACTCCAGGAAAACCCTTTCCCCCCCCCAGGGAAAGGGGTCAGAGGTGTCACCACTGGCAGCAAGGGGAGCAGAGGCAGCCCCCCAGCCCCTCTGTGGCAGCAGCACAGCCAAGGGTGTTGGTGAAATAACTTTATTGAGTGTGATACAGGGCTGTGGGGGGGGACAGTCCATACTGAGGAATAGTCACACTTACTCAGCTAACAGCTAGAGACAGCAGGGCCAGACACACACAGGCAGTGTTACACACATCCATAGAGAAGACAGTGGGAAGGGAACTATTTTATTTCACTAGTTACCCCCCCTCCCTCCCTCCCTCCCCCTGGTCTGTGACTGGGAACACCACGAGAGCAGAGCTGTGAGAAGGGGACAGCCAAAAAAAAACCCACACCCCTGTTGTACAGCAGACAAGGACACAGTGACACACAGCAGCAATTCCCACACGACAGGGGGGGCACAGGGAGGGGGCCACGCTCCAGACTGAAAGGGGAAAACACATCCCAGCTCCCTCCTGCAGCTCACCTGGAGGGGAAGGATGGGGGTCTGAGTGGAATGAGGGTTCAGGGACCAGGCACTGGGCCAGCTGCTGCCCCAGAGCCAAGGTGGGGGCTGCTCCTGGGGTCCCCCTGCCCTCCCCTGCTAGGGGAGTGTCACTGCTGTCCCCACCCCTCACGCTGAGGTCATGGCTCTCTGCTGGAATCCCCACCCCTGTCAGATGAAGAAGGGGCAGGGAAGGGCTTGGAGCCATCCCACTGCTTCATCCTCCTGTCAGCAAACCTACAGGCTTCTGGTTAGCACAGATGGGCAAAAAAAAAACCCCTAGAGAAACTCTGAAAAGCTCTTCAGAAAGCAGAGGCTGGATTTCCCACACCCCCCCCCCGCTC